TTTATGGGATAATAATCTTTTAAAAATTCTTTCTTTTAATGTTTTAAAATTTCAAGTATTTTGACAATTTGAACACCCCCCCCCTTCGAAGCTTTGTCGCTGAAGAGAAACGTCAGCCTCTATCTACCCTGCCCTCCCATCTTAGTCCCAGAGAGGTGAGGCCTGTGACAAGTCTGAGAGAGAAACACAACACTGAACTGGGTGTGTATCTGCAGAGGCAATGGTGGGGTAGAGCTGGAAAACTATATATATATATTCACTAGGGTGAAGGAAAAGAGGAATTTGGTTGTGGAATTTTCCCTTTACTTTTTTTCCCTTTTCTCTCCCTCTCTCCTCTCTTCTCTCTCCTCTCTCTGCATGTGGTGTGTATGTGGCCTGTGGTGTGGTGTGTGTGGTGTGTGTGTGTCCAAAAGATTGAACCCAGGCCCTCACACATGCCAGGCAAGTGCCCATTTGTTTTTTTTTTTTTTTTGTTTGTTTGTTTTTTTTTCTTTTTGTTTTGTTTTTTTTTTATTTTAAGATTTATTTGCCAATCATGGTGGTACAGGCCTTTAATCCCAGCACTGGGAGATCTCTGTAATTTTGAGGCCAGCCAGGTCTGTGTACCAAGTTCCATAACAGCCAAGCTACATAAACCCTGTCTGAAAAAAAAAAAATTATGTATTTGGGTGTGTGTTGCTTGCATGTACATGCAGTGCCCAAGGAGGCCAGAGTAGGTCCCTTGTAACTGGAGTTACAAATGGTTGTGAGCCACCATGTGGTTGCTGGGAATCAAATCCAGGTCCTCTGCAACAGCAGTCAGTGTCCTTAACCACTGAACGAGCTATCTTTCCAGCCATCTGTTTTTGTTTTGGGACAGGGTCTTGCTATGAAGCCCATGATGCTCTCCAACTTGTGAATCTTCCCGAGTTCTGGGATTGCTGCTCTGTTCTACCAAGAAAGCTAAAATGTGATGAGTTCTGGGAGTACACACCAGCTCCTGGGTTATAGGAAATAGTCTGAACTGGGCTTCAAGCAGTAGGATGTGCTGATGTACCTTAACCCCAGCATCGAGGAGATGGATGTGGAGTACAAGGAGTTCAAGATCAATCTGGGCTACAGAACAATTCCAGGGGTAGCCTGAGGTACATGAGACCCCATCTCAAAGGAACAAACACACAAGGTGTCCAGTTACCCTGGATAAATATGTGAAAGTACAGTAAAGGCCAGGAGTAGTGGCACAGGATGATCAGGAGTTTAAAGCCAGCCTGGCCTACGTGGCAAGACCCTTTCTTAGACAAAACAAAAAGTACACTAAGGGTCCAAAAGAAATGAAAATACAGGCGTGTCTGGTGACTTACAATGATTACAGAAGGGTGGGGCTCATGGGCCACTGTATCTTTTGCAGTGACAGTAGTTGGGTGCCTGAAGAGTATTTTTTTCATGGCCATATTTTCTCTCCTGCAGACAGGCATGGCTCTGCTTTTCCTGCTGGGGTGTGCCTTCTTCCCACTGTGCTTTGCTGGCCTCTGTTGGGGGCTGCAGAACCAAACCAACTTGCAGATGGAGAAGCAAGAGGCTGTTTTGGTGGCATCAAAGTAAGATGGGAAGGTGGGCTATCTTTCCTGATAGACCTAACAAAGCATCAAGAGCTGCTGGAGTGGACTCAGAGGAAGATGCAGGGGAATGTGGGTGCAGTTGGGTTCATGAAATCTTTTTTGCAAGAGTCTCTGAGGTTCAGGCTCCTCATTTGGAAACATGTTTAATAATAATGACAATTTCTTTTTTCCACGGAGACATATGTAAATTATGGGATGTGTGTCTAAGGGCCACGGTCTCTGAGGAGGTGCAGGGGTAGGACTCACAGTACAACCAGGACAGGGAGCAGAAGTGGCCTGGCTCCAACAAGGCATCACAGAGCCAGCATGTAAGCCCAAGCCAGAGCCTGTGTGAGCCAGGCAGGTGCTCTGCCACCCAACTACATCTTTTTCCCTGAGATGTAGCAACTGATTATATGAAATCAGCTAATAGTCATGTGTGTGTGTGTGTGTGTGTGTGTGTGTGTGTGTGTTTTAAGAGTTGTTTACACTTAGTCAGAGGGGATGCACGTGCCATAGCTTGCAGGAGTTGGTTCTCCCCTTCTTCCATGTGGGTTCCAGGGATTAATCCTCATCATCAGATTTGGCAGCAAGCACCTTTACCTGTTAGGCCATCTGGCTGGACTGAAATGAGTTGCTCTTGAACTGACAACTCAGACTACAACTTTAGGAGAAACTATCTTCTCCTAGAAACACTGTACTGGGTAAAAATGTTGGTGGGATGGTTGGGCACTCAGGGTTATAATATAAATGTGAGCAATGCCAGGGCATAGCTAGGACGGGGGTCTGCAGAAAGCAATGCTTGGATTTTTTTTTTTAAACTGCTGGATATAGACTCCAGAGCCTCTGAAGTGTTAGACAACCACTGGGCTGTGTCTCCTGTCCCCAAGGTGTCTGTGTAAATTCCTAGCAGACAGAACAAATCAGAAGCACAAACTCCAAAGCCCCCTGTCTCACCCCTGTTTTGATACCAGGTCATCATCCCAACTTAGTGCCTTTTGTACTTTTGTTCATTTTTGTTTTGTTGTGTGTGTGTGTGTATGTGTGTTTTGAGGTAGAGTCTTGCGCTGTAGCCCAGGCTATCTTGTAACTTTTTTTTTAGGTTTGTTTTTCATTCTGTTGCTCTTGGTGAGCTTCCTGTCTCAGCCTTCTGAGTACTGGGATTACAGGCCAATTCCTCTATACTAGTAGCTCAGGCTAAGGTAGGTCCACCCCTCTCCTGACCAGATCTCCTTATGTAGCCCTGGCTAGCCTGAGGCCCCCAGGAATCTGCCTGCCTCTGAAACCTGGGCATCATTGTCTCTGGCTCCTCCTAGAGTAAAGCAAACACACACCGGAAATCCTACTTTACTAGTGCACATAGCTATGTTATCCTGGCAAGTTTTATTTTTTAAGTTCTAAGCTTTGGTTTTTCCTTCTCCAACCCTAGAAGATCAAGGGCACATTGACATAAATCTCCTTATTCTGTACCCAGAGTGTATTAAGACCCAACAGGGGTGGGCCCCTTTCTCTTAGCTTTCCAGGTTCCCAACACTGACTCCAACGCCTGTCTGTGCCAAGACTTCCTTCAGCCATCATCACAAACTGTCACTAGAGGGCAGCACAAAATAGCAAATCAGTCCCTTCCTCTAGGGAGCACGGGGAGTAGGCTGTAGGCTTGAAGGGTCAGTTGTCAGTAGAAATTTTTGAGGCTTTCTCAGGGCCAGCCAGAAACCCAAACTACAGTGTTAGGGTGTCAGGCTATACCAGTTTGAAGGACAGTGGGGTTTGGGAAAGGTGAGGCCCCAAGAGGGCCATGTGAGAGTGAGGAGCAGCCGTGTGCTAAGCTTACCTACCCTGGTCAAAACCCTGGCTGTGCTTCCCCTTAGATTAAACGAGGGAGTTGAACCAAGCAACCCCCAGGGTCTTCCTCACTCACAAGCAAGGCTGTTCTGAGAAGAGGCAGAGGAAAGGGAGCCAAGGCAATAGAAGGGAATCTAGGAGGCCATGCAGCCTGAGGAAGGGGGCCAACTTCCATGCAGCCACCTGGGTTTTCAAAGCAACATCCTCATTTCTTCAGGCCCACTCGCCTCCCTTTCTCCCCAGGCTGGCACTTCCTCTGTAGCCCAAGCTGCCTTCCACACATTACCCTCCTGCTTCAGCCCTCCTGAGTGTCAGACTGCCAGGACTACAATAGGCCACTGTGCCTTTTACCCCAGTACTAGTGATCAAGCCAGTCCTGTGAGCTCTCTTCCCCCTTAGCTCCATTCCTATCCTTTCTTAACTTTCTGATCCTGGGGATATTGGCTCCCACCTCAGGACCATCTCCTACCCTCTAGATAGAGATAGTGGATGAGCATAGATGCCCAGAGCTGTCCCAACAGTGACACAAGGACACAAGGCAAGCAAGGTGGAGTGCATGGGAGGGGCTGGTGCGCGCTAGCCTCCACTCCTTCTGACTGGTAAAGGGGCCTCTGGATCGAGGACACTGTGAGATGGTTTTGTTCCCATCCATGCCTTCAGTGTTCCTTCAGGGAAAGCAAGAGGAACCACCCGCTCAGGCTGCCTTCCCCAGGGAATCTTCCTAGCTGGAGTGGGCACCCCTAAGCTGAGATCCTTGCAGGCCACTGAGGGACACACATTAATGTTTATAAGCATTGGCAGAAGGAAATGCCAGGCATTTTCAAAGTGCTGATGGGAGAGGGGGCTCAGTAGTCCCTGCCAGCTGAAGGAGCCAGGGCTACCTCTTTCCCAAGAGAAGAGCCACCCCTCCCTTAGCCCTCGTCCCCAGCAGCCCCCCCCCCCCGCGCTGCAGCTGCTGTCTCTTTAAGGGCCTCCCCCTCCCTTTTCCCCTGTCCCCCCCCCCATCTCTGTCGCAGCCGCTGCTGTGGCTCAGAGCTGCATGGGAGACAAAGCTGCTGCAGGTCCGGTTTCTTGGTGTCTGGTTGGTGCCATCATTTCCCTCCCCCTCTCCCACCCTTCCCAACCTGGTGGCTTCCCCTCCCCCTCCCCCTCCTCACAGAGGGGGCAGGGGGCTGGGCACCAACTCTATAATGCCATGTGCAGTGTCTGCACAGGGCATCGGGGCTGTGGCAGCAGCAAGAGGAGGCGGTGGTGGCCTGTGGTGGCGGGAGAACAGTGTTGACTGGTGACCACTTGCCCAGCTGCTCCTCGGCTTGCCGCGGTCCTTCCCTCCCTCCCTTTTTTCAGGGCTGGCTCTACCCGTCCCCCACCCCGCCTCCTTGGGCCCTCCCAGCCTCTCCACGTAAACCCCCCCCCACCTGCCGCGGTTCTCCCTCCCCTCCCCCAACTGCATCCTCCTCCTCCTGTCCCCTCTCCTTCTTGGTCCTCTCACCAAGTCCTCCGTTGGTCGGTCGTCTCTTCCCGTCCCTCTCACCGGCATTCTCCCACCCCCTCTCTACTCTGCCTAGCTAGCTGTCTCTGTGTCCCCAGTATCATTGAAGTCCCTTTCTTCCTTGCCCTGGACTGGCCCCCTGGTCCATCCTGTCCCCGCCCTGGCCCCTTTGTGCCTCCCCTTCCCTCTTTCTCTCTCCTCCTCTGGCTTGGCATCCCTTCTCCACCTCTAACTCCCTCAGTTTGGCCTTCTTGTCCTTCCTGGCCCCTGCGGTCTCCCTGTCTGGGTCCAAGTCACCATGCTCACCCCAATGGTGGCTGGGGGGGTGGTGTTCCCCGGACTCTTCCTCCTATCCAAGAACACGCTCCAGAGGCTGCCCCAGCTGCGCTGGGAGGAGGCCGACGCAGTCATTGTCTCCGCCAGGTAAATGGCATGCCTTCCCTGAGTTCAGCCCCCTCTCCCCAACAAGCTCCATGGGAAAGGGACCCCAGCACCTCCCTGGGCTCTGTAGCAGTGGGGAGGTTTATATGCAAGCTTCCTTCCCTCCTGGACCAAACCTTCCCTGGAGACCTCATTGAAACCTAGCCATCTGGTCTACTATTCAGCTTGATCCCGCTTTCCCTTGTCACCCTCCCACCCTCTAAAGCAGGCCACTGTGCGACTAAACAGCCCCACAAGATACCAGGGAACAAGTCAAGGGGCAAGACCATGTTTTTCAGGGCTGGTGTTTGTGGGTCAAGGTACAGAGAAGTAGATGGTGAAACTTGTACATCACTAGAATAGGGCCATCAGGAAGAGGGTCAAGGAAATAGTGCGAAAGTGGCAGGGGACCTTGGGTCACTGTGGGGCCAGTTTCTGTAGGTACGAGCAGCATAGTGACTGGGTGGCCAAGTGGTGCAGGAGCAACTGGGGACTGCTTTGGCCCTCATGGGTCCCTTCCCTCCTTCCCCAGGGAGAGACCTCACTGTCAGCCATTCCCAGCACTGGCTCACTCCAGAATGATCTCCCTGGCATCCTGGGGGAAAGGAGACTCAACTGTCACAAACTAAGAATGAAGAAGGCTAGGAGAGGCGGGAACTGAGGGATTGCAGCTAAGCATGGCTTAGCTAAAAGCGATAGTGGGAAAGCATGGTTGGGAGGAAGCTGCTGAGGAGTGGCCCTGAGCAGTACAGGATCCAAAGCACAGTGGTTGTAGTAGCAAGAAGAGACATGGAGGCACACACCTTATTTTCACTCCTTCCTCTGTCTCCCTAGGCTGGTGTCCTCTGTCCAAGCCATCATGGCCTCCACAGCTGGCTACATCGTCTCCACTTCCTGCAAGCACATCATTGACGACCAGTAAGTGCCTCATGACCATCTCTGCCCAGGCTCCAGCAGTGGATGTGTGCAACCCAGGATCCCCCAGATCTGTAGTGGTCCCTGAACTTGGGCCCAAGCAAGCTCATGTGGTTATGGCAACTCAATACCAGGGATAAATTTATCCCACCCTGTCCTAAAGGTCAGAAGCAAGGAAGCAGAGGTAGGCATCAAAGAAACGCCTCAAAGCAGTTTCCGGTCAGCTTCCTGGCCTCTGGTCATCAGTTCTGAATGTCAACCAGCTCTTGCATACCTCAGACTCTATTTCTATCCAGTACCTGATAGAGCACCTGCTTACCATGCCAGGCTCACCTCTCAACTCCATCTGGAATCCAGGTGTCTAGCCTCAGCTCTTTGTCCAGGGAGAAGAGGAAGAGATGACACAAACAAGGCCACCAAGGGTCAGGCAGTGGGGGCTGGGGGTAAAGAGGCCAAAATTTGGCACTGGCAGCTACTGCAGTGTTTGGTGCTTGCCAAAAGAGGCCCAGGCCTGAGGGGTGGGGAGGATGAAGGGGAAAGCACTGGCTCTGTCCGTGGTGCTGATCAGCACAATTTTCAGCCGGCCGAGGGCTGCTGCCAGGATATTCCTCACTCAGCTGCTGGCTCTACTGCCCTTCTGTGGTGTCCTTTGAGTCTCAGGGGACATTGTGTGGGTGACCCTGGTCTCCATCTGCCTTCTGGTGTCTATTTGTCTCTTCTTTTCCAGTAAGTGAGTTCTCTCCTCCTAGGACCTAGAGTGAGGTCACATCCTTCTCCAGAAGGGATTCTGCATGGAGGAATTGAGTGTGTTAAGTGCCTAGGACGGTTCTTGGCTCAGGGGTTTAACTCTTAGGCTCCTTCCCCATGACTTGACTCCCCCTTGCCCTCTCCCAACCCCTTCCCCAGCCAGAGGGTCCAAAAGGAGCCTGCGTGCTAGGCATTTCCTCCTCACCTATTCTTACCTAGAGGCCACCTTTTGGTTCTTGCATTCCCAACCCTTAGTCCAGTCTTGACCCTGTTCCCCCTTTAATCCTCGTAGGTGGGAGGGTCAGGGCTAATCCAGGGGCAACAGCTGTTCTTGTTTCTGAGCACCTAATTGCTGACAGAGTAGAGATCTGACATCTCACTTAGCCCAGGGGCCTGGGCCCCTCTAATTCCCCTACAGCCCAGAGTCCTATGGGTACCATTCCTCCACCACATCCTAGGCAGACTCTGAGGATTGTTAGGTCCTGTCTGTATTTCTGCTCTCTGTCTCTAGCCAGTGCCTCTCCCCTATCCTTCCCTCTTTGACTCCAGACCATATTCCCCTACACTGTTGCAGCATGGGTCCCTTTGAGAGTGGGCTGCTTCACCCCTTTCAGGCCAGCAAGCCTGAGTAAGCTGATGCTGTCTTTGTACTCACCCCCTCCCCAGATGGCCGATACCCCCAGCTCTCCCTCCTCCCCTTGCCAACACCCACACTTGGTATATGGTAGCTAGCTGGGTTGGCTTTTGCTCTGCTGCTTCTGGGCCTTTCTATCCCCCACCCCCACCCCAGGCCTTGAGGACTCCTGGACTTGAGAAAGCTTCTGTGCTGACTCAAGAGAAAAAGCGCAGCGTTGCGTATTCTTGTGCTTCCCGTATTTGTTTACTCCAAAGTCTGTAGAACTTTCTCTGTTCTTGGCATCTTTGCTCAACATTCTCTCTTTACTGCTGGCCGTACCTGAACTAACAATAGATGCACCATCTCGGCGCAAAGGCGAGCTGCAATGACAGCCCCTCTGCTCGACTAGGGCCTGGCTCCAACCCCTCTCTAACCTTCTTGAGACAGTGGGGCTGATGGCAAGGACTTCTGTGGTTGTTCCTTGGCCGCATTACTTAGCCTCTCCATGACATAGGGTTTCACGGGAAGTGAACAAGTTGCTGCTGTGTAAAGACTTAAGTGCCGGCATCAAGCCTGGTTTGTGATAAGCTGCCATCTCCACTGGTGCTGGGCCCCAGGGTCTCAACAGTGCTTGGAGGCTCCTCATTGTGCCTAACTGGGGTTTTCTTTGTACCTCTCCGCAGCTCATTTCCATCATTGCTCACTATCTGCAGAGTTCTGGTCTCCTCTCTCTACAACACTGCAGAGGCAGGGATGGATGGAGGGGTGGATGCAGGGAGAGGTAGAGATACTTAGGAGGGACAGACTGGTAGGTTGTGAGGTCTGCCTGGCTTGAATCCAGCCCCAAACCTCAGAAGCTGTGAGACAGCCTGGCCTTGAGTGGTTCCTCACACACCATCCTTCAATTCCGGCATCTGAAACTCAAGACTCCAGGTTGTTATAAGAGCCCCTTGGGACCTAACTCCCATCCTGCTCCCGGGCTGCTCCTGCCCACCTCTCCTCCCTTCTCTCTCCCCTCCCCACAGGCACTGGCTGTCCTCGGCCTACACGCAGTTTGCAGTCCCTTACTTCATCTATGACATCTATGCCATGTTCCTCTGCCACTGGCACAAGCACCAGGTTAAAGGGCACGGAGGGGAAGACGGGACGCCCAGAGCCCTGGGCAGCACCTGGGCCGTGGTGCGTGGCTACCTGCACAAGGAGTTCCTCATGGTGCTCCACCATGCCGCCATGGTGCTGGTGTGCTTCCCACTCTCGGTGGTGAGTCCTCCTTCCCGGAGTCAGGAGGGCTAGGGGTAGGTGTGAACAGCGGCTGCTCCCCGGCATGCCAGCACTGCAGTGTGGAGGTCCCAGGGAGTAGGACTTGGAGTGGGTTTCCTGAGCAGCATTCTACCCAGGGATTCAAGAGGTACAAGTCAGTCTGAGGTGTCAGAGCATTGGCTACATGTCTGTGTGCCTGTCCTTTCCCTGTGGTACAAGGCAGGATTATGAAAGAGGCAGTAATGTGCTGAGTACTCAGACCCAAGCCAAGTGTTTCTCTGGGTAGAGAATGTGGCTCAGCTGGTAGTGTTCCCCTAACACATGTGAAGCCCTGAATTTAATCCCCAGCACTTTGTAAGGCCAGGATGGAAGCACATTTGTAATCCTAGTGCTTGAGAGTGGAGGCAAGAAAATAAGAAGTTTATAACAACCTCTGTTATACAGTGGGTTTGAAGCCAGCCTGGGGTACCTGAGACTCTTGACTTAAAAAAGAAAAAGCCAGGTGATAGTGGTGTACACCTTAAATCCCAGCACTGGGGAGGCAGAGGGAGGTGGTCTACACAGAGAAACTCTGTCTTGAAAAACAAAAAGGAGAAGGTTTGGGGGGTTTGAGAATAGGACCGGGGAGATGGCTCCGTTGATGCAGTGATGATGAGTCTTGAAAAGCTGGGCTGGGTGGCATGTGCTTAATCCCAGCTCTGGGGAAGTTAAAGGAGAATCCCTGGGGCTTTAATTCCCCCTCCCCTCCTGCACTAGGGAAGCAGAGCAGGCAGATCTCTGTGAGTTCCAGGACAGTCTGGTGCACAAAGTGAGTTCCGGGAAAGCCTGGTCTACAAAGCTACACAGAGAAACCCTGTCTTGAAAAACAAAAACAAAAACAAACAAACAAAAAACCCCAAAACAATAAGATTGAGAGCAAATAAGGAAATTGACCCTGGCCTTTATATACATATACTGCACATGTGCATCCACATAAGAACAGAGAGAGAGAGAGGAGAAGGAGAGAGGAGAGAGAGAGGAGAGCACTAAGCATTTCTGAAGGTGATGGGAGAGAGGCATGAAGGAAGGCACAGGTTCTCAGGCTCTTGCCTTTCCCCTCAGGTGTGGCGACAGGGCAAGGGAGATTTCTTTCTAGGCTGTATGTTGATGGCTGAGGTCAGCACGCCCTTCGTCTGCCTGGGCAAGATACTCATCCAGGTGAGAGTGATGGAGGGCCTAAGGGCATGTGGGGTGGGCACATCTGGGGGCTTTTGGGAATTTTTAAAGACCATGTAACCTTTCAGCATGGGGGTGTGTGCCTACCACACTGACACTGGAAGGCTGAGGCAGGAAGATCATGAATTTGAGACTAGCCTGGGCTGCCTCAAAAAGCAAGACTTTAAAGCTGGGCACTGGTGGTGCATGCCTTTAATCCTAGCACTTGGGAGATAGCCAGGACTGTTTATATAGAGAAACCCTGTCTCGAAAACCAAAATAATAATAATAATAATAATAATAATAATAATAATAATAATAATAGCAGCAGCACTGAGCAGCTGCAGTGTCAGGTGGGGGAGAAGCCATAGGCGGGGCGCAGGGGAGGTGTGGGAACCTGCGAGTAGAGGGGCCTCTCCCTCCCCTCCCATGCTGCTCTGTCCACAGTACAAACAGCAGCACACGTTGCTGCACAAGGTGAACGGCGCCCTGATGCTGCTCAGCTTCCTGTGCTGCCGGGTGCTGCTCTTCCCCTACCTGTACTGGGCCTACGGGCGCCACGCCGGCCTGCCCCTGCTCTCAGTGCCCCTGGCCATCCCGGCCCACGTCAACCTGGGCGCCGCGCTGCTGCTAGCACCCCAGCTCTACTGGTTCTTCCTCATTTGCCGCGGGGCCTGCCGCCTCTTCCGACCCCGAGGTTCCCCACCACCCTCTCCTTGTCAGACTCAGGACTGAGGATGGGGCCTGGGAACCCCCTACCCCAGCCCCTGTGGAGACAGGGCTTTGGGGCCAATGGGTGGGGGGTGAGAGCCCAGAGTCCCTTGCCTTGACAGCCCCAAGACAGAAGGACTCAGAACAGGGAGGAGCTAAATACCCTCAGGAGCTGAGGTCGGAGGATTGGAAGGCAGGAAGAGAGGGGACCGGGATAAAGAGGCTCTTCCGGCCTCTGTGCCCACAAAATGAAAGGAAGAGGGAGTGTCAGACAGTGTGCTGAGGTCTGGAGAGCTGGGCTCAGTGGGATCAAGGAGTCAAGGGACCTGAGGGTGGCCCCGCTGCCAAGGACATCCCAGCTCCGCTGCTGCAAATCCCTCTCTGCTACCCACACCTGGGAGAGAGAAGACACCCTAACTCACCCCAAGTGGGCCACCAGGGGTGAGGGGACCCCCACAGCTCCTTCCTGTGGAGACCAACCTGAGGAAACTTATTTATTTATTCGCCTATCTCTAATGTGTTGGGGTGTGGGGAGGGAGGTGATTGCTCCCCTACAACCTTCCCAGCGCTGAGCGACCCTGGGGGCAGGCAAGGGCACCAGTCCCTTCCGTTAGGCTGCACATTTCGCCCTTGGGCCCTGGCTTGTCCCTGGTGCTACAGACCTCTCATGGCTTCCTCCAATCTGGGGTCACTGACCCTGGGAGGTGCTTTTACAGACCGCTAATAAAGACGATCTTCGTGAACGCCAGCAAGATCCTCGGGTCCAGTTTTTGGGGCTTGGGAAGGGAAGAGGATGACTACATAGAGGGCCAATGAGCAGTGAGAAAGGAAGGAGGCGATGGGGGTGGGGTGTGGATGGCCACACAGAGGGTCGCAGGGCAGCCTGGGAGGAAGAGGAGGTGTGAGTGGCCGGCCCCACAGTGGCCACTGCTCAGCCAGGAAGGAAGGAGGCTCCGCCTTTATTTCTCAACAGAAGACCTGGTAGGTAGGTATGTAGCACACCGCAGGGTCCAGGGCTCCTGGCCAGCTCCTTAGGCTCCTTTTTGGAAGCTCCTAAGGAGTGTGGAGATTAAATGGGGGAGGGCTCATAGGAGACTTGAGACCTCTGGAAGGGGTAGGGCAGAACATGGGGACAGAACTCACACGTGTGTGCAGAACTGGAAAAGGAAGAGGAAGAAAGCCACTGCCAACGTGGCCACCATGATGTGCTGGAAGAGCCCGGGGCCGGAACCTGCCAGACAAGAGCACATTACTTCCAGGTCCCGCTAAGAGGGAGGCCCCTTGATCAAGCTGGTTCATACCTGTCTTAACAAAGGCCACAGGTTTCTCTCCAATAAACTGGGCCACAGCAAAAAGACTAGCTTGGTCTGAGTCTGGGTAGTCAAAGAAGTCAGGCCTGTCTACAAAGAGCTGGGAGGTGGCTCCTGGTGTCGAGGCCTTAATGTCATCTCTTCTGGGTGCTAGGAACAAAACAAAGTCTGTGACAAGAGCTGCACAGACCCACTGTGCCCACCCCCAGAGGTTAGGCAAACTCAGGGCCCTGGGCTGGCTGAGCTCCTATCAGAAGCCCACCATGTCTGAGACAGGGACACCAATGCAGAGTCAAAGGGCAAGGCCGGCCAAAGCGCCTTGGCTCAAGGCTCTAATTCTATCACTTGGGAAGCAAAGGCAAAAAAGACTGCTGGGAGTCAGCTTGGGCTGTGTAGTGAGCTCCAGGGCAGCCTGGGCTACAGAGTGAAGCTTTGTCTGAAAACAATACAATAAAATGAAATGGAAGGCAGAGAGGGGAGGGGATGGAAACAAAGGAGAAGAAAGGGAGCGAGGGGAGAGGAAGGGTGAAGGGAAGGGAACAGGAGGGGAGAAAGGCCTGAGGCTGGGCTGACCTCCTGGTCACAGCCAAGCTTTCTCCTTATTCTCAAGCCTCCTTTACTCCTACCATCCCTGAGCCCTAGCTTCCTACCTGTGTCTACAGTCCCCAAATTAGCCATCCACAGCCACACCCATACGGGCACCCACTGCCACAGCTTCATAACCCTGACACTACTAGGAGTACGTGGGATTCTATGACATCATAGGCCAGAGCCATTCCGGTAGACTGACTGTGGGGTGCTTCCAGTCCCTGATGCGGAAGAGCCCACTGAACCTCATCCTCAGGACCACACCGACAGCAACAGTAAGAGTGGTGGAGGTCTGGGGGCATGGCTCAGGGGGAGAAAGCTTTTGCTCAGCATACACAAGGCCTTGGGTTCAGTCAATTGGTCACCAGTGTCCCAGAACATATCTGGGACTATGCAGTGATGCATTTGTGCAGCAGCTATATTTGGGAGGCGAAGTGGGCTACACAGCTCCAGTTGTCCTTTGGATCAACCACAACTGTTATTTATTGAATACTTACTAAAATGCCAAGAAATTTGCAGAATGGCTCATGTAATTTGCAGAAGTCCTAAGAGAGAGGAGCACGCCAATGTGTGGAGGCTCTACACTTCCCAAGGGTATGCATTTTTCTCTCTGGGGCTCCCCTTTGAATTCTGTCCTGAGATTCAGGGGTCTTCTGCATCTATCCATCTCCAGACTTGGTTTTAGCGCTCAGCAGACATAGAAGCGCACACAGATGAGGAACATGCGAAACAGCAGTCTTTTCCACCAGGTGGCAGCAGAGTTCGTCGGACTGTGCCATAATCTCTCCCACAGGTCACACCGGGTGCGGCAGGCAGGCTTCTCTCCAGTGACCGGCTGCTGGAGATTCGTTATAAGAACTCCCCCAGCTTATTCCAAGGCTAGTCTCTTGACCATTCAAAGAACTTAGTTTAATCACCTCACCGTAACTCATTTTCCCCGTAGGTGCCGTGTGTGCGCACCATCACCACCATGCCACATCCCCACATCCTCGTCTCTCCCCTCTAGTTCCCACAGTCCTCCTGGTGTCACTTCCTAATTGCGACTTGCACTCCACAGGCCCCCATCTCGAGTTCTAAGAGGTAGCTCGCCTCTGATTGGCAGTTAGGCCTGTCTATCACAAATGAATTCCATCCCACACAGGCCAAGGACACTTCAGGGTCTCCTTGATTGCGCTAGTGCCTGTGCTTGTTATACAGACTCCTAGCTGCTCTGTCACTCCAGTGAGCGACTCCTCCTTGAAGGGTCCTGCCTTTCCCGCACCAACCCACCCGTTATCCACATAACAGCTGTGCCACGACCCGTTTCCTTTTTGTTTTATTTTTGAGTCAGGGTCTTACTCTGGAACTCACTGCCTAGACCAGGCTGGCCTCGAACTCACAGAGATCTGCCTGCCTCTGCCTTCCAGGTGTTGGGATCAAAGGTGTGAACCACCACATCTGGTGCAACTGTTATTTTTTAACCAAAAACACCTACAGTACTGGACAGGGGATGCACACCTCGAAATCCCAGTGCTCCAGACAGCCATCTGTGTGCCATGAGAAAGTTCAAAGACTGTTAACAGAAAGTCTAAGAGAACTCGGAATTTAATTTTTGTAATGTTATTCTCCCAAGATTTTCTCCAAGAAATAAATTATTTTGTATTTTATAACTTAAAAGCAGCTGGTAGTACATTTCTGACATATAGCAGACCAAAACATTTTCAGAAAGAGAATAAGTACATGGAGAGAGAGAGAGAGAGAGAGAGAGAGAGAGAGAGAGAGAGAGAGAGAGAGAGATCCCATTCCAGTGCTCTGGAGGCTAGAGCTAGAGGAATACGTAGTAAGAGCCCAATCCTGTCTGAAATAAGCAAAGCAAGTTATGAAAGGCTCTGCTTCAACAAAACTGGCAGAGGGTATCCTCTGGATAGATAGCACCCACACCTGGGCATGTTCTACCTTCGAGATTCTTCTTTGAGAAACTCATGTACTCGGGTATGTCCTTCTGAATTCTATTAAAACAGTTTTACCAATCCCCAACTCTGCTTAAGAAAGACAAGAAGCCAAAGTGGAAAGTCCTGAGGAAATGTATCTATGGCCTTCATGCATGTGGCCCCACAAATACGCACACCCCATCCACAGAAAAATAACCAACAACAAAACACCCCTGGGGCTGGAGAGATGGTTCACTAGTTAAGAGCACTGACTGCTCTTCCAGAGGTCCTGAGTTCAATTCCCAGCACCCACATGGCTCTAACAATTGTCTGTAACTTCACGTAGATATACATTCAGGCAAAATATCAATGCAAAAACCAAAAACAAAAAACAAAACAAAGCAAAAAAACCCCACCCTTTCCCCTCAAGTGGCTCTCCTGTCCTTTCAGCCATTAGGAAATGTCAGAGCCCCTCTGTGTGCTGCCCTGGGCTCTTTTCCTGGCTTACATAGAACATGATTTCTGGGATGTGCGCATGGCTAGGGGTGGGCAGAGCATTTGTAGCAAAAGTGTGAGGACCTGAATTAAAATACTCAGAACTACTGGGCATGGTGGCATACATCACCATGGGATAAAATCCCAGCACTCAAGAGGCAGAGGCAGGTGGATCTCTGTGAGTTCCAGGCCAGCCAGAGATACATAGTGAGACAACAAACTCAAACAAAAGTCCTCAGAACCGGTACAGAGCTGCACACGTGTAACCCCAGCACTCCCACTGGGAGGCAAGAGGTGGGGACACAAGACTCCTTGGAAGCTCTCTGGCCAGCTCGCAGGGAGGGGAGGGAGGCTCGGGGATAGAGGAAGAGACAGCGGTGAGGACGATACACCCACAGTCCACCCATATTCACCCCTCATGGTGCACACAAATGCATCCAAAGGGAGGGAGGGAGGGAAGGATGGATGGGAAATTTCTGCCTCTGGAAAGTGGGAACCAGCTCACAGGTGCATGGTAGTTTGGAAGAGACACACAAGGAACGGACGGGACTCTGCACCTGTTGCCTGCACTCAGCCTCTTCTGAGGGGCTTTGCCCTCCCCTCGCCCCACTAGAGCCCCTTGGGTGACGCCCACCAGTGGGGGTTCCTTCCCTTTTCCGTTTGTCTCAGTAGGGCGCCCTGTCCCTCACTCCAACAGGGACCCGCTCTCACCCGCTTTCCAGCCTTGTCTTGCCCGCTCAGCCGTCTTCTTCTCATATATATTCCCTCTCCCTAGGTGATCTCATCCATTCTCACGGCTTTAAATACCATCTATATGCTGGTGACTCACAAATGTATATTTCTAGCCCAGACCTCTCCTCAGAGCTGCAGACTCCTATCCCCAACTTCCTGCTTGATGTCTCCATGTCCAAAAGCATCTCGGGTGCAATAACCCTACACAAAGCTCTCGATTCTCTTACTCCAGACCTGCTCCTCTCTCTTCCATGGTTTTCCTAGATGGTCTACCGGGAACCTGAGGATCATCTTGCATCTTTCTTCTACCTGACAGCCCCCGAGTGAACGTCTGCTGGTACCACTTCCAAAAGAATCTCTACAATCCAAGCACAGAAGAGGCTGAGAATCATGGGTCTCAATCAGCCTGGGATGTATACCAAGATCCTGTCTCCAAGAGGAGGGGGAGGGTAATGAAGAATGAGAGGAGGGGGAGGGAGGAGGGCCAGGCAAGGCAGAAATCTCAAATGCGACTCCCTACCTTCCTCTCGAGGTTTCTCTCCTGTTGAAACCAAAGGCCTTCATCAGATCTGTTGATTGCTACAGACTTTGATCTGGCTGAGCCATGCTGACTGACTCCTGCCTCCTAACCCAGCTTCAACCATTGAGACCCAAGGAAATCCTCCTGTATAACAGCTTCCCAGCCAGCCTATCTACCTGCTCATCCCATTTCCCATCCTCCAAGCCTTTAGCCACACTGCTTTCAAAACCAGTTTTTGTATTCCAGGTTCTTAACAATTGATTGGTTAATTTTTCTGGGATAGGATTGTTTTGTAGCCCAGGCTGGCTTCAGACTTGGGATCCTGCCTTTGCCTCCTGAGTGCTGGGATCACAGGCATGCCCTCCATTTATGAGGATAAGGTCCTGGCTGCTTCCCGGATGCTCACAGACCTTGTCTAAGTCACTCCAGCTCCAGTTAAGGCCTCATCTTGGAAATGCTGGCTGACACATTTCCTGTAGGAAGGGAGCCCTGAGGCACCCAGGCTCTGGGCCATCATCCTTCACCCTTCCGCCCACCTCACTTGTTGGAATCGTCTGTGTGTCTGTCTATCTCCCTATGGGGCTGTGAGGCTGGAGGTTGTTGCATAAAAGTTATTCAAGAAATGCTAGGCATAAGTGTGTTGAATGCAGAATCTTGCCCACTCTGGATTGGTAAGGCTCATGACTGTCTGCCATGCTCCTGGGCTCCTGCCTTTGGGGAGGCTTTGCAAGGCATGCTGGGATGGGTTCAAGCTGTGCACTATGAGAAGGCAACAGTGGGGGATTCACAGATCACACTGCTCCCTTTGCTATCTACCCCTGTGTCCGGGCCAACAGCACCCTTGCTCTGTAGTTCTGGCTGGTCTAGGACTCACTATGTAGACCAAGCTGGCCTAGAACTCATGGGCAATCTTTCTGCCTCTACTTCTCAAGTACTAGGATTTCAGGGATGTTCCAGAAGATCTGGCCAGCTTTTTGCTTCATTGCTAGCCCTGGAGAGCTATGAAAGGACACTCAATGGCTGCTTGAACTACTTTAGGCTAGGAGCTATAGCTCAGTGGAAGGATGCACACTTTGTCTATATAAGGCCCTGAGTCTGGTTTTGCACACACAAATAGATTAAAAACCTTTGAATATTTATTGATTTGTGTATGTGTGTGCCAACATGTGTCATGGCCCATGTGTAGAGGTCGTAGAACAACTTCCTTCAACCATGGGGCTCCTAGAAGCAAACTCAGGCTTGTGTGACAAGTACCATTATCATCTGAGTTATCTCACTTCCTCAAACATATATGATTTTAATGTGTTCTTTGGAAGAAGTGGCATGCATGTGGTACAATTAAGAAGCATTCAGATGGTACATACCTTTAATCCCAGTGCTTGGAGGCAGAGACAGGCAGATATCTGAGTCTGCATAGTGAGTTCCAGGCCAGCCAGGGCTACAAAGTAAGACCCTGACTCAACAACAAAAAGCACGCAGAAAGTTGTATATTAGAGGCTAAGTCTTTCCTATACTTGCCCTTCCCTGCTCCAGAGCAACTGCATTCTCCAGCAGTCACCATAGGTACCATTTTCTTGTGCAGTCTTCTGGAAATAACATACGCACAACAAACATGTGAAAGATCTGTCCCTCATTCACGTGGCAGCAGGCAGCAATTCCACAGACTCTGCTCTGGTCATGCATTTTGGCTTAAGCGGGAATGAGACTGTGAAGATGACTCTGCATCTATCTAGATAAATATATAAGAAGCCTCCCTTTTCATGGCTGCGTACTATTTTGACATGGGAAATTATGTCATAGCTTATTAACTATTCTCTCCTGCATGGATATTTCATTTGTTTCCTGTTTAGAAGTTATAGGTAAGAATCTTCAACTTCTTTTATTTTGTATATTGCCTGGTATGTCAGAGAGCTGGGATTTCAGGGTCAAAGACTGTGTATTTGTGATGTTGGCACCAAGTATCAGACCAGCTGCAGCATAAGTGTCACTGATTTATTTACCCATCCTTTCGGAGTGCTAAGTGTGCCGACACTTTGAATTTTGCCCATTTGATAGGTGACAGGTGTTGTGTTATATAATTTGACTTTATAGTGCTCTTCCTTTCAGAAAGTTTTAAAATACAAACATAACATTTTCATATAGCTTTTACCATATTATCTTTTTTATTTGGTGCTGGGGATCAGAGCCATTGCATGGTAAGCACACACTGCACCAGGGCCCCCAGCCCTTGACTGTCTTCAAGTGTACAGCTAGTCAGAGTTAAGTATAGTCACATGCTGGGCAGCAGAATTTCTCTGTTGAGTCCCAAAATTAGTGAGGCTGACAATGTCAGGCCCAGTCTGGGACACTTGGGACTAAGAGATGAATCAGCCCCTCTTCACTGCAACAACTCCCAGGCTGATAGGAGATAGAATGTCAACAGGGAGACACAACTGTAGTCAGAGCTGAGTCTGAGGGCTCTTCGGGTGCTCCAGAAGACTGCTAGGAACAGTGACTCGGAATGACCTGGGAAGGGCAGTTTTCAGGAGCAGAGGACCTGTACCTGAACAAAGACCCAGAGGCCTAGAGGTGGGATGTGCTCTGAAGCTGCAGGTGAAGCCTGCAGGGAGTTCTTGAGGATTTGGTCTTTCTAGGAGGTAAGCTTAGGACACAGATCAAAGGTTAGTGTTGAAGCCTCTGGTAGCACTAGTCTGTAATCCCAGCGAGACACAGGGTACAGGAGTTCAAGGCCAACCTGAGCTGCCCATCTAGAATCATTCAAATACTAAAAGACAAGACAGAAGGCTTCTGGGGTGAGGTGGGGCCAGTGCCGGGCAGAGGCTTTATGACTGCAGGTTCAAGCCCTGGGGTCTTCTCCACCCCCATCCCACCCCCCACCCCCCGCTTGAAGGACAGAACAGGAGATGCAGAGGGTGGCAGGAGGTTTGGGTCTGGTAAAGGGACCCAGGTCCTGGGGGGGCTGGTTTGGGTTTCAAGAAGGAAGGAGGCGTGGGGAAGCCAGTCGAATGAGGTTCCCCAGCGAAGCAGGAGCGGCAGGCAGGTCCCTCCTTTCCTGGCGGGTCCCTAGGTCGCTGCGGATCTCTAAGCCACGCCCACGGACACCAAGGGGTAGGACAGCTGCCCTCTTCCCTATCCCCTCGGGTGCTTTGTGGGTTGGGGGTGTGCGTGAGAGCCAGTGTTGCTATGGCAACTAGGCCGGGTGGTCGGGCCCTGGAGCCCTGGCAGCTAGAAAAGGCGAGAGGCGGGGCAGCGGGAGGTGCCAGGGCTGCGCGGCGGGGCGGGGGCCTGGGTCTCCCGGGAGGAGCTGGGGAACACCGGGCGCCTCTCGCGGAGGTGCACGCCAAGTTCTCGGGTGAGTGTGTATGCGTGTGAGCTGGCCCGAGGAGCACGGGCGGGTGTGAGAGCGAGCACACGTGTCGGGTGTGCACTTGTGTGCGCTTTGGGGCCCTTGCCTGGCCCTCTGCGCCCCGCGCCCCTCCCGGCTGCCCGCGGCAGCTCCCGCCACTCCCGCCCCGCACCGCCTCTCCGGTCCTCGCCCGCCACGCCGCAGTCGCTGCCGCCGCCCAGCCTGAGCCCGCGGGCCGCCCGTGCAGGGCACCTGTTGGAGGCCCAGGGACAGGTGCGGGGCCGGGCCGGCCAGGGGAGCGCTGGCGGGGATGAGAGGAGAAAACTGAAGCAGGGGGTTCCCACTTTGGTAGAGCGGATGGCTCGGGTTAGGGACTAGGCAGGCAGGCAGGCAGGCAGGCAGAAGCTTGGGCTGAGTGAAGAAAAGCCTAGAGAGGTGGGTGAGCCTGGCCAGCCCCACGCCTGATGGGGAAGATGGCCAGAGCCTCAGCAGCAATGGAAGGGAGCTGTGGGGTCCCTGGGGGGGATTGGAGGGATGGGAACAGAAGGGGAACCCAGAGTGAGAGGAAAGTCTTGGAAAGGTGACAGAGGGACAATGTACAGGTAGTGAGTGGGTAGGGTTAAGGGGAGTCACGACCTGTCTGCCAGGACTGATCTGGCAACCCAGCCAGTCCCTTTGGAGGCAGGCCTCCTGTCTGCCCACCAACTAGCACAAATCACCTCTCCCTTGACACCCAGGAAGGGAGGGAAGTGAGCTTCCTTCAGACCCCAGCCAGCCACGCCAGCTCTACACTCGTCTCCCAGCCAGAGGTGCTGCATGAGGGGCCGCAGGGGGGATCGCATGACCATCAACATCCAGGAGCACATGGCCATCAACGTGTGTCCTGGACCCATCAGGCCCATCCGCCAGATCTCGGACTACTTCCCTCGCAGGGGGCCCGGACCAGAGGCTGCTGGCGGCAGGGGCTGTGGGGAAGCCCCTGCTCACCTGGCCCCTCTGGCTCTGGCCCCCCCTGCGGCTCTCCTTGGGGCCACCACACCCGATGATGGAGCTGAGGTAGACAGCTATGACTCAGATGATACCAGTGAGTCTGGGGGCTCAGCGGGCTTGTGGGAGGGAACAGCCTCTTGTGTGTGTGTGTGTGTGTGTGTGTGTGTGTGTGTGTGTGGAGGGTGGGGAGAAGGGAGGGCGGTCCTGCCACCACAGCTGCAGTCTGGGTGCAGATTATAGCTTCAGCAAGGCTCAATATTCAATATTTCTGCTGAGACACTCCACCACCCACACAGTCAGTTGCGGCCGAGCCAGGGACCTAGACACAGGCATGCACATGGCTGCTCAGCCTCTTACACACACACACTGGGAGGCCAGCAGAGATGTGGACACATTCTTCTAGCCACTAGATCTCACACACTTGACTTCTCTTCCCTTTTCTGCAGCTGCTCTGGGCACATTGGAATTTGACCTTCTCTATGATCAGGCTTCCTGCACTCTGCACTGTAGAGTCCTCAGGGCCAAGGTGTGCATCCCTCCTTCCTGGGCTGCTACCCTAGGGTGGGGGCTCCATCTTCCCCCACCCAAAGCAGACTCCTGCATCTCTGGAACTGTACTCTGTGGGGATCTAGTCCTGCAGAAGGAGGGAGAAAGTCTTGGGAGTCTAAAACCCTCCTTGCACCTATCCTCAGGGCCTCAAGCCCATGGATTTCAATGGCCTGGCTGACCCCTATGTAAAGCTGCACCTCCTGCCAGGAGCCTGCAAGGTATGTCTCCTTCCAGGATTGGCTTGGCTTGGGTCCCTCCTAGCTCCCACCTTCAGCCTTTGGGGCCCCAGGGTCCATGCATCAGAGTCATTTGTCCCCATGCCCCAGGCCAATAAACTTAAAACTAAGACGCAGAGGAACACACTGAACCCCGTGTGGAACGAGGAGCTGACATACAGCGGAATCACGGATGATGACATCACTCACAAGGTGCTCAGGTGAGGGCTTTTCTCCAGCCCAGCACCTCTGGGCTAGCTGTTATTATAACCTTTGGTTGGTCCCATTAACCCTGTTTTGCTGTCACTCCAAAATAATCAGTGGCTCGCAAGCCCCCTTAGCAGCAGGTCCAAATGTCCCGACCGGTGTAGCAGAGGACCACTGTTTGGCAGCAGAAGGCCTTATCAGTAAGGCCACATACACTCTTGGCTTCCTCTGACTACCTCAGGCATTCATCTGAGGCTCAACCCCAAACCTGCCTCTGGAAAGATTTCTCTGCTCCCCAAGACCCTGCCTCAGAGTCCTTGACTTTGGTCAAAACCGACATACCTCAGGCTGCCCACTGTTCCTTATCTGTATTCCCTGAGGAGTAGTCTTCCTGGTCAGGGAACTTGCCCTGTCACCCTAGGTATGAGAAGTATCCCAAAGAGTGTGGAGCTGAGTTCATGTTGGGAGAGACTTCGTCCTTTATTCTTGGGTAACAGGGAGCCACTGAGGGTTTATCACAGGAGAGGCATGGTCATCAGGGCTGGTCCACAGGGCTCACCATGGTGTCAGAGGTGGGATAAATAAAAGCACAGAAGCAGCAAAATTGGCCTCGTGTTCCTCAGGGTAGACAGTACAGCCTCAAAGTTGCAGAAGGCAGTTTTTGTTTTGACAAGGTCAGCCCAGGCTAGCCTTGAACTCAGATCCTTCTGCCTCAGCCTTCTGAGTGCTAGGCTCACAGTGCACTGCTATAGCCTGTTATTAGGGAGCATTTCTTTGCTTTTCCTCATGACAGTTTTAGTAGGTCGGTATGTTTAAGCCCCAGTTTACAGATGGACAGTTAGGTGACTTGCCCAAGGTCACACAGGTAATAGGCAGGGCTGGACTTTCAATACACCTTCATACCATAGCTACTCTTCCCTTAACCCTGTAGTGATGCATCTGGGCCAGGCTGGCTCCCTGTTCCGGCAGCAAAGAACCAGGCACCCAAGTCAAGCAGGAATCCTTGGCTGCATAAAGCAGCTAAACACCCTCTGGGGACTACCATTGCATCTGTGGCCATACTCACCCACCCACACTTGTGGGGTTCAGTTGGCACCTGTCCCCAGATGGGGAACAGAGTTCCAGAAGCTGTGAGAGCTTCCTGTGAGCAGACAGGGCAGATCCAATTGCCCTTCTCAAGCTCCCACCCATTTTACAGATGAGGTGGCAAACTTAGGGCAGAGCTGGGACTGGTCCGAGGACCTTTTTCCTCTCTCTGGAGCGGGGCTCAGATGCTCTGGGGCCCTGACCCTGCAGTTCCCTGCCAGGATCTCTGTCTGTGACGAGGACAAGCTGAGCCACAATGAGTTTATCGGGGAGATCCGAGTGCCCCTCCGCCGCCTCAAGCCTTCACAGAAGAAGCATTTTAACATCTGCCTTGAGCGCCAGGTTCCGGTCCGTGTGGGGCTAATGGGTATGAGGAGGGGACCTAGAAAGGCCAGCTTGTCAGAACCTTTTCTTTGCCCCCTCAGCTTCCTTCACCCTCTTCAATGTCTGCAGCGCTGAGGGGCATTTCCTGTTACCTGAAGGAGGTGAGGCCCATCCTGGGAACACTGTCTGGGTGGTAGGCAGCAGAGGACCTAGGCTGACCTCTTGACCCCTGCCTCCTTTTCTGGCAGCTGGAGCAGGCAGAGCAGGGACCTGGGCTGCTGGAAGAGCGTGGGCGCATCCTGCTGAGCCTCAGCTATAGCTCTAGGCGGCATGGGTTGCTGGTGGGCATCGTTCGCTGTGCTCACCTGGCTGCCATGGATGTTAACGGCTACTCTGATCCTTATGTGAAGACGTGAGCCTTTGCCCAAGCCTGATCCCAGCCTAATTGCTCCGGGACTTAGCCTGTCCCTAACTTCACTCTTCCCTCCCTCTGTAGGTACTTGAGACCAGATGTGGACAAGAAATCCAAGCATAAAACATGTGTAAAGAAGAAGACGTTAAACCCAGAATTTAATGAGGTAAACAAGACAGGGAGCAGAAATAAAGATGGGCTGGGGACAGCGATGTGATCAGAAGGCCCAACAGAAAGCATCTCTGCCTTGTTTTCAGGAATTCTTCTATGAGATGGAACTCTCCACTCTGGCCACCAAGACCCTGGAAGTCACAGTCTGGGACTATGACATTGGCAAATCCAATGACTTCATAGGTGAGTGGAGGAGCCCACCAGGGTGCTGAGGGGGAGGTGGCATAGGAGAATGGGCACTGACTGGGTGAGCATGCCTTGGCTGTTCTTCAGGTGGTGTGTCTCTGGGGCCAGGAGCCAGGGGAGAGGCACAGAAGCACTGGAGTGACTGTCTCCATCAGCCAGACACAGCCCTGGAGCGCTGGCACACCCTGACCAGCGAGCTGCCCCCAGCGGCAGGGGCTTTCCCTTTGGCCTAAGCAGACAGCAGCTGCCCAGCACAGGCCCTTTGGGCCGGGTCCAGTACCCAACCTTCGCACGAGTGTGTTGCACGTTTACATGGGGTGGGATGCCCCCTGCCTCACACTACCTGTCTTATTTTTGTGAGTCTCTGTGACCGTGGGTCTGTCTTCTTGTGAGGGACTGTGGAGAGCTATATTCACATATGCAAACTTTTTCCTGCCTGACTTGCTGTTACCTGCAAATATGCAACCACCCCATGCACAGGGCCACACGGGAGTCTCCTGCCAGTGCCCCTACCCCACCTTGCTACTCCTCTCTTGGCCTCTCCAGGCTGCCTGGCCCCCTGCTTCACAGGGAGGAGGTCGGATTAGGGGAGATTAGAGGAGGACATTTCCAAAAGAGGAAAGGACAAGTAAAGAAAGAGCCAACCTTTAATACAGAGCCTTTGTTAAAAAGTCCCAGCCCTGCTCGGCTGCTCTTGTAAAGGGGCAGCCTCCACTGGGTCTCTGCCTCCCTAAGATGGGGCAGATAACTGTCCCCTGGATGGGGCTGGGATGTGAGGGCAGGGGCCCTGCCACCTTCCTCGGGGACATTTGTGCATGTTTACGCCTTTTCTGATTGTGTCAGTGGCCGAAGCATGGCAACTGGGCATCAATAAACATCTCTTGAGAAGTGGGCTCAGGTGTGCTGGCGTGGGAGGAGCACTGTGCGGGGGCCTGGCAAGCAGCACTGGGTGGCTACTCTGGGATGTCAATTACCAGGTCGTCGTCTCCATCCAGGGCATCATCCCCGCTGCCTGCATCGCTGAACATCTGCTGAGGGACGGTGCTCAGGATCGTGTGTGGGGGCATCTTGGGAGGAGGCAGGGGGGTCAGGGCCGCCCCAACACTGGCCCCAGAACCCCTGGCAGGGAAGGCCAGTGGCCCACCCACAGGGCAGTCAGGGGGTCCTACAGCCATCTGCAGCAGGGGGAAAAACACAAGGAGGGCTTGTCAGATGCACAACACCCACTGAAAGGCAGTTCAAGGGGTGGGGGAAGCCCCTCTGTAGCTCCTCAGTCTCAAGCCATGAAGTGCCTGGGGTGAGGGGCAGTGATGGAGGCATGACAGGGATGGGGGGATGAGGGGATGGGACTCTGACAGGGAACCTGACAGAAAAGCTGGGCTTGTCCCTCAATAGCAAGGTGGGCATGGTTGCTTTGTGCCAGTAGTTAAAGCCAGATTCAGGACTAGCTCAGAGTGCCTTCTTCCTGCCTCTGGGCACCTTGGGTATCGCCTGCCACCACTGCTTGGCTCTCCCTCCTCCTCCTGTGGGATTCACTGGTTCATGGTGGGCATCACAGGTTACCTGAGCCAGAAGCCTAAGCAGAAGCTTTGTCCCCCAGCTTCTATGGCATTGTGGATGAGCCCCTCCTTGGGACCCCAGCAGCCACCAGCCTGGGCCAGGCCCTCCTCTCGGCTCACCTGGTCTAGGTACCAGCCTCCTAACTGGACTCCCTGCCTTCAGCCTCTCCCAGATCCAGCTCCTCCTCCACACTTCGGCCAGAGTGATCACTCTAGAACACAAACCTGAGCATGTCACTCCTCTGCCAGGGGCCTTGGCCCTGGCTGCCCTCAGGATGGTCAGTGCAGTGTGCCTAAACAGGCCGGGCCTGCTCCATTGGTCAAAGTCACACTTTGTCCTGGGAGCTGAGACATGGCCTCTGCTCTGCCCCGTCCTGCCAGGTCCTCACACATCCTCCCTCAAGACAGCTCTCTGGGTGCTGTGACATCTCATGTGCCGTGGGCAAACTGAACACCTACTATGACTCAGATAATGCCTATCAATAATCTCTACTTTATAGGACCATCCTGGAAAAGAGGTGGGGCCATATACCAGAGGAAGGAACTGAGATGTGGAAAATGAATGTTAAAGAAATAGGATGCTAGTCCTCACTGGGCAGCACCCAAGGTGCACTTGGGACTGGGGTAGCAAACAACACCTATATGTGGTCTCCACCATGGTCTCCTGATTGCTGCCACACCTGGCCCTGTGTCCTGCTTTCTGCTTCTCAAGGAGCCCCACCTTCGACTCTGTTTGTGGGGTGATGTGAGGGTACTAGAGTAGTCAAGGCCTCGGGAAACGGGTGTCAGACAGGAGGGCAGTTGTGGAAAGAACCAGGACCCCTGTGGGGTTTGAATGAGAATGCCCCACCCCTCATAGGCTCTTATGGTTGACTACTGGTCCCCAGCTGGCAAAGCTGTATAGAATCAAGAAGCTGGCCTTGCTGGAGGAGGTGTGTCACTGGAGGTGGGCTTTGACTTTTCAAAAGCTCTCACTATTCCCAGCTCAGATGCATTCATTTTCCATCTCTCCCTCCCTCTGCCTGCCTCCTCTGTCTCATGGACTCTAACCCTCTGAAATCATAAGCTCCAAATAAACACTTCATGTTGTCTTGATTGTGGTGTCACAGCGACAGAAAAGTAACCAAGACGGTCCCCATATGCACGGAAAAGCAGATGCACACACAGACTTGAGGGCAGCTCCACGAGGACAGGCCTCTTCTGGTTCCCCTCTGCACCAGCACCCTGCTCCCCACGGACTACCCTAACCAGGATTTCCTAAGCACACTAGGACAGCCAATGTGGCTCTCTGTGCTGCCGGGGCCCAAGCACTGTCTAGCTGATGCTCTCCAGGTCTCACTCATTAGTTCAGTGGTGTGCCCAAGGTCACAGTGAATCTGTGAGAGACTAGGATTCAAACCCAGCTAAGGCTAACGTGCCAGCCCTTTATCCTCGCCTTGGTCTTCAGTATCTCACTCGCCTCAGTTCACACTTGCTACCTCCTATATCTTCCACCCAGTGCATGGACACAGGCCCCTCCCGTCTCCGTCTAGGCCTCCTTTACTTTCAGTGTCATTTCCTGCCATTCCTGTCCTGCTGCAGCTGACCTCCCACCATGCTCCTTTCCCCTCCCGCTGCCACCTCAGCTGGGACAACCCTGATCTCAGTGACCCTGTACTTCAACATCAGCCCTTCCCTGACCCTCCAGTCACCATGTCTCAGCATGCCACCCTCTCACCTGCCCTAGGTTGCTGTGCTTTGTTTCCACCCACCTGTCCTGAATGTGAGAAGCAAAACCTCTTAGGAAAGGCCAGTGTGGACTTTTGTCCCACTCTTTTCCCCAGTGCTAGGGATCAGACCTGGGGCCTTGAAAATGCCAGGCAAGAGCTACTACTGAGCCCCATGCTCGATCCCAGAATTCATACTTAATCTCCAGGAGCTGGAGATACAGGCAGCTGTAAGCCGGTTGGTGTAAGACACTGAACTTGGGTCCCCCTGGAAGAGCAAGCAAACGTTTCTAACCTATGAGTCATTTCTCTAATCCCTAGAATTCATTCATTCAGCCTTTCATTTATTCTTTTTTCTCTCCCTCCTCATTCCCTCTTTCTCTGAGGATATAGCCTGGAATTCACTAGGTAGACGAGGATAGCCTCAGACTCATAGAGTCATCTCCCTGAGCCTCCCAAGGGTTGGGATTAAAGGCCAACACCCCTATGCCAGGCAGAATTCACACTCTTAGTCACTATAAATACAGTCTGTGATCTGCTTATGGTGTCTGAGCAAAGAGCTGTTTAGCCTGGTCCCTACACAACTCTGCTTCCAAGCTGATGGGCATTCCCATCTTCCTTTGTCTTTAGCTCACTTCTCATCACTCCTGGGGCTTCGTGTTTGGCCTTCTCCCCTTTGCCAGCCATGCAGCCCTACAAAGCCTCAGCTCACACAGCCACTATCCAGCTGGCACTTCCAGATGCCCTCTCAAAAGGTCCAAGGCCTATTTTTCATCTCTCTTCTAAACCCAGCTTCTCCTATCACCTTCCTCACCTCAGAAAACTGTCACTCAGTCATTTCATTACTCAGAAGAGCCCTGGAATCCTTCTGGGCTCCTTTCTCCCCCTCATAGCCAGACTGGGTCTCTGAGGAAACCCTGCAGCCATCTTTGACATGGATCCATGGAGCACTCTCTGGGTTTCTTGCAGTCACTTCCTTCCCATCATCCTGATTACTCCAGACCTGTACCCAGGCCTCAACCCACACAGCCATGTTGTCCATGTGTCTAAAATGCAAGCTGAGCTCGATCCTGCCCTGCTCACCCTGTCCAAGTGGCTCTCACACCATTTCTGTATAAGCCCTAGTTTCTCTTACACCTCAAAGGCCCTATGTGCTTCCCTCAGGCACCTAGTCTCTGACCACCTGCTCTGTGCCCCTACACACACACACACACACACACACACACACACACACACACACACACACTTATTTATTTTGCTTGTTTGAGACACAACTTTACTATGCAGCCTTGGCTGACCTGGAACTCACTAGGTAGACCAGGCTGGACTTGAACACATAGGAATCCACCTGCCTCTGCCTCCCAGATGGCTGGGATTAAGGGCATGTGCCAGCATGTTCTGCTCTTCCTTGTCTTTCAACAAGCATGTTCACTAGACTGAAACCCTTTCCCAGGCACCTCATGGCTTACCTTCCTGTATTCAGTCAATAGCACCCTAGACTATCCACCTTAAAAATCCCATCACTCTCTTACTAGGGCCAATCCATCTTATTTATCTTTTGCCAGTTCTGTCATAACAGGGCCTCTGTACAAGGGTTTGGCCCTGTTTTTTTATGAGCTGCAGCCTCCAGACAGGCTCTCAACACAGGCAGTGCCCCTCTACACTTGCTGACTTTACCCAGTTTGATCACTTGTGAGTCTAGGACACTAGCTCAAAGTCACAGTTCTGAACTGGGAAGCCTTGACTCTACACACCACTCACCACCCTGTCCCAGCTCCAGCAGTACCCATGACCTGTACAAACATGCTTCACTCCAGCCATGGTGCAGGGCCTGCCGTAGAGCCAGGTGGTGAGGCAGAAGCCTAACTTGGGAGTCTTCCAAGACTGATTCTGACACTGCCAATGAGCCAGAACTCCTCTACTCTGTCCTTCAGTGCTGAGCCTTAGGCTGAGTCTTAGCATTTCAAATCCATCTTTCAAAAGCTGGATATCGTGATGGAGATATAGCCCAGCTGGTTAGGAGCTTACCTAACATGCATGAGGCACTGGGCTCAACTCTCAGCGCTTCGTAAACCAGATGTGGTGGCACGTGCCCATAATCCTAGCACTTGGAAAGTGGAGGCAGGAGAACAAAGAGTTTAAAATCACCCTACTAGCTCCTGCTACAAGAGGTCCCTCTCAAACGAAGCACCCAAAGTCGCTGTGCATGCCCCTAGTCCTAAGCTTTCTTCAGGTGGATGTCCTGCCTTTGTGGCCCCTCCCTATAGTCCCCACCTCAGGGTACCTTGAGTTTCCGGGGTAGTCGGGACCGTTTCTCCAGCTTGGGCCTCAGGGGGCTGGGCTCAGGCAGCTGCAGGGCCAGGTAGTCAGAAGGGAATGGGGGGTAAGGGGGGGAAGCCAGCTGAGGTGGGAGTAGGAAGATGGAGATGGGAAATGGAGTAGGTAAAGGTGAGGGGTGAAGGGAAGAAATGTACACAGGAAAATGGAAAAACAAAAGAGATGCTGATGAGTGTGGCTCCCAGGGCTCCTGAGAACAGAGGGGAAGGGACAGCAGCAGGACCATGTCCTGGGTCTGACCCCTAGTCCTCCACAGGAGAGAAGTAGGCAATCTGACTCACACCCTCCAAATGCTACTTGCTGGCCACATGTGGACACATTCTGAGTTGGGAAACCTTGCCCTGAGACCTAGCCCCTTTGCCCATATGAATCCCACTGTATTCCCAGGCATGGTGGCGCACTATTTCCTGGTCTTTATCCCAACTCACCGAGCTCAGGTATGGGGAGGGGGCCCCAGAGGTCTGCAGAGGAAATCCTGTTGAAGGAGGCAAGGAGAGGCTGGAAGGGGATGGGGCACCCCCCATCGGAGGGCTTCTCTTCCTGGGGAAGGGATAGGGAGAAGGGTCACAAACAGCTGGAAAGCTCAGATTCCCCCACCCCTGCCCTGGCAATTATGGCTCCTCCTTACCTCTTGGGGGCTGGTGTGTCAGACAACTTGGGTGTCCCTTCTGTCTCACTGTTGTCTGAAGATGCAGTGGCATCTGAATCTGTGGGGAGGGCTGGTCAGTGAGGTTGTAGAGTTTCCCATCTACCTCAGAGGACGGTAACCTCAATACTATAGCAGGAAGCTAGGGAGGGAGACTTCCCATTCAGCACACATGCAAGTAAGGGATTCTGGACAGTCCCTCAGCTCGCACACCTATTTCCTACTTAAGTACCTCCAAGGCACACTTGCCAGCGCATACTATGTGCCAGGCTCCTGGTCTTTTTAAGCACAGAGGGGGAAAGGCAAGCACATCACCTCCACTTTCCAATGGTCTGACTGAACTCAGGTCTGTGATTCTGAAGCCATCTTACACCACTCTTTCTCGTGACTCTAAAATAACTTTCAGCTTCTTCTCCATTTTCCTTATTTGGGGACCCACTAAAACACTCCTCAAAACTATTTCCTTCCTCTGCTCCACATTCCAACTACCACAAGTTTGGGCCACTGCCACTACCATGTCAAAATCATCTGCTCAGCCATCTTACCACTGCCAACTACTGTTCAAGCCAACTTAATAACTCTGTCCACATGCAGTGTTTTAGTCTGTCTACAGTCTACCTTAAGCAAGACTTAAGTAAGGACTTGACCTAGGGCACCTGGCTAATTGCTTTACTTCAGAACTGCAATCCTGGCCTCCAGGCCCCCATTTTTCCAAAAGAAGATCTACTTCCTAGCTCTGTGTTCTTCTAGAAGTTTTGCCTTTCACTTAGCAGTCACTGTACATGATATATGTTATCTTATACTTAGATCCTTGATTTATAGTTGAGACACAATCTTAATATATATGTGTATCTCTGGCTGGCCTGGAACACAAAGAGAGATCTTCCTGCTATTGCCTCCCTAATATAAATTTTTATGCTTAGGTATTTTTGTGTGAGGAGTGTGTACCATGTTCATGCCCAAGCCTGAGGGAGTCAGAAGAAGGCATTCAACACCCTAGGATAGAGTGAATTGGCTGTGAGCTACCATGCAAGTATAGAACTGAACCCAGGTCCTTTCCAAGAGCAGCAGGTGCTCTAAACTACAGGGCCATCTTGTTAGCTCTTTGGTTGCAATTTAAAGTTAAATGTTAAAAAATACTTAAGTTAGGCCAGGCAGTGGTGGTGCATACATTTAATCCCAGCACTTGGGAGGCAGAGGCAGGCAGATCTCTGAGTTTGAGGGCAGCCTGGTTGGTCTATAGAGGGTGTTCTAGGACAGTCAGAGATACACAGAGAAACCTTGTCTTGGAAAAAACTTTTCTTAAGTTGGAAAAAACTAGCCTTTGTGCACACCAGCCTAGAGTTACTCTCATCACATTTTTCACCTGGAAAGCTTTAGCCCTGTATTCACAGGCAAACTGCTGCTCCAATTCCTAAACACCTCTTAAAGAGACTTTCTCATTCATACACAATTCAGATACTACAGGCTTTTGTGTGATTTACAAGCTAGAATGACTTTAACACTTTGCATGGAGAGCTGGGCATTGGTGGTGCTTGCCTTTAGTCCCAGAATGCGGGAGGCAGAGGCAGGCAGATCTCTATGAGTTCCAGGCCAACCTGACCTACAGAGCTAGTTCCAGGACAGGTTCCAAAACAATACAGAAAAACCCTGTCTCAAAAAACAAAACAAAAAACAACAACAACAAAACCACTTTGCTGATTTGTTTTTAGTCAGGATCTCTGCAATCCCAGTTGGCCTGGAAGCCTGGAACTCAATATGTAGATTAGACTGGCTTTCAAATTGGTGATTCTCCTGTCTCAGCCTCCTAAGTGCTAAAACTACAGGCATATTCAACCATACCCATCTGCATTTCATTTATTTAATTTTGTTTTTTTTGAGACACAGAGTCTTACTTTGTAGCTCAAGCTGGCTTGGAACTTAAGAGCTATTTCCTGCCTCATGCTCTGTTGAGATTATAGGTGTAAAGCACCATGCCCAGGTGGCTTTTGCATTTGTAGCTTTTTACTTTATTTGGAGATGAGTGTCATGTAGCTGAGGTTGGCCTTGAACTTCTGGTCCTCCTGACTCTACCTCCTAAGGGGGGCTGGAATTAAAGGCTACCATGTCTTGCTTTTCACCCCACCCTCATCCCATTTTTGAAACATGGTCTCATTATGTAACTAGATTGGAACTCATATTTAGGTGGTTTTTTTTTTTTAATTACATTTACTTATTTGTGAGTACATGGATGCATGCATGTAGAGGTCAGAGGTACAACCTAAGAGAACCATTTTCTCCTACAATGTGGGTCCTGGGGATTGAACTCAAGTAGTCAGGTTCAGTAGCAAGTGCCTTTGCTCAATAAGCCATCTCAAAAGAAGCTGGTGTTGGGACTGGAGGAAAGGCCCAGTAGCTAAGAGGACCTGGGATGGATTCCAAGTACTCCCTTCACTGAACAAAACCAGCTATCTATAACTCATCTGGAGAGATCCAATGCCCTCTTCTGGCCTACATAGGGACTACATGTACATGGCACACAGACGTACAAGCAGGCAAAACACCCATACACATAAAAATATGTATCTTTTAAAAAACAAAAGAAACTGTGGGTTTGCTGCTGGTGGTGTGTGTGTGTGTGTGTGTGTGTGTGTGTGGTGGTGGTGTCACAGCATGAAGGAAGTCCCAGCATTGGGGAGCCTGAGTGAGGAGGACTTTGAGTTTGGGACCAATTAAAGCTACAAATGAAAAACATACTTCAAAAAAACATAAAAAATAATAAAGGTTTTAAAATGTTAAGTTGAAAATGTAATGTTCACAAAAAAAGTTCTAATAAAACACAGCCGTTTTGTTTATTAATATGCTGGCTACAGCTGTTTTCACATATGCAGTTTGCTTCAAGGACAATATTTTACAAAGCCAACAATATTTTTTTTTGACCCTTTGTAAAGGAAATTTATCAACTCCTGTTATACTATAGTTACTATAATTTAACTGTTTTAATTTTCATCAAATTCCCATTATCACTTAAAATTCTAGTTTGTTTCTTTAAAAAAATTTCAAGTCAGCCAGGCACTTGGGAGGTAGAGGCAGGTGGATCTCTGTGAGTTCAAGGCCAGCCTGGTCTACAAGAGTTCCAGGACAGGCTCCAAAGCCACAGAGAGACCCTGTCTCGAAAATCAAAAAAACAAAAAACAACAAAAAAATCAAGTGATTTTATTATCATTACTATTAGTGTGTTTGTGCAGGTACTAACATGCTATGGCAAATGTTTTGAGGTTAGAGGACACTTTCACAAGTTTTTTCCTCCTTTGCAGGCTCCAGGAATCAAGCCCCTTTGTTTTAAAAAACTGGCTCTTGCTCATGAACCATATGCTTTTGCCTCTTGAGTGACGATGGGATTAGAGGCATGGGGTAATAATACACCTTTCTAGTTTATTTTTTCACATAACATGGATATAAATGACAAGAGGTAGAGGCTTCGTTCATTTTGCCAGCCTCTGCCAAACACAGTGCCTGGAACACAGTGATAAGAAAATACTTAAAAGACTCTCCAGGCGTTGTGGCACATGCCTTTGATCCCAGTACTTGGGAGGCAGAGGCATGTGGATTTATGAGTTGCAGGTCAGCCTGGTCTACAGAGAGAATTGCAGGATTGCCAGGGCTACATAGAGAAAAGAAGGAAAAAGGTAGGAAGAGGGAAGAAAGGAAGGGAGGGAGGGAAGGAGGAAACAGAAGGCAAGCAACAAGGCTTAAAGGGCTGCACCAGCTTCCACATCCTAAGAGAACGGACCCAGGAACAATTGTTTAAAGTGCCAGTATCATCTTCCTGCAAATGTTCATGACTTTGCTCACCGGAAGAATCTTCGTCCACGTTCTCGTACTGCAGAAGTCGATCTAGAAGGAAACTGGGAGAAATGGGAAAGAGAATAATTATTCTAATTTATCAATGTTCTTCGGCTAGACATCTATCTAGTTCCTTATAGAAGGCCCACTGGATCTTCCTAGGAGCGCATGCATTTGTGGTCCTATTCCAGGATGGAGCGAGAATGAGGATTCCCTAGGTGTAGCATAGCCTTTGTCCCTCAAGAAGCCTTACCTCTTGTCCCGGGAAACTTTCAGCAATTTCCTCTGCGCCTTCCTGAGCTCCTCCTGGAAGCACTCATGTTCCTGTATCGGACAAGGTGAGTGTTGAGCCAAGAGCAATCCGTAAAAGCCCCAGAACCCAGGGACATCTCCACCCCTTTTACCACATGGGTAAACTGAGGTCCTCAGCGCTAGGCCTCACCCACAACCTTCCCAGGCCAGCACTCACATAAATGAGGAACTTGAGCTTCCGCTTCAGATTCCTGTATTTTTTTTTGTAGTCCACTTCGCCGTCCGCTGGTCCGTTCATGACCGGTCTGGGAGTATCGCCCCAGAGAAGAGTACCGCTACCCAGAAGCAAGTTGGCCCGGCCTCTCACACTTCCACTTCCGGAGACTTGGCAACGCCGTACGAAGTGGACTACAACTCCCGGCGAGCTCCGCGAGCAGGGAGCGTAATGACACCACCCGGCCTCTAGGGGAAGACCTGAAAGGAACGCTGTTTCCAGCGGCTTCGCGCTTCGCTGAGGTCACAGAGGAGCCGGACAACTGAAGGGCGCAGTATTCTAAACTGATTAGATTTGGAGTCATAAAAGGTAACCAGAAATTCAGGGCGTGAGCGAGGATGCCCTTCTCTTTCTGCCTTTCGAAACAACAGACCTGACTACAGAGCAGTGTGAAGAGTCAATTAATTACGTTACGTCCAGAGATTTCCGGCGGCCTATCGGCTTCTAATGATAATTTCAGTAAGTAGTTTTAACAAAGAGCAGAGCAGAAACCACGAGACCCACCCACTGCTTAGTAAGGAAAGCAAAATCTGGCCAAGTTCTCCGTCCCAATGCTCCGCGTCGGAAGCCCAACGGTTCCGCCCCTCACGAAGCCGCGTCACTGCGCGTGCGCAGACTGCTGTCAACCGCACTGAAGGCGGCCCGGAAGAAAAAAGGCGGGAGCCACCAATCCCCTGTGGCGTAAAATGGCGCCTGGAGATAAGATGCTGGAATTCACGCGCACCTTCTTCCGAGGTTGCCCTGACCTCAGGTGCTTAGGGTATTAAAGTCTGGGTTGGAAAGGGCAGGGGTTGGACTGGGACCCCGTCTTGACACATGTCTTTGTAGCACGGTTACACACAAAATCGTGCGACAAAAATTTTTAACCCACGTGGGCCGGGATCACCTTGAACCTGAGGAGAAGCAGGCGTTGAAGCGGCTGGTGGAGGGAGAGCTGCTGAAGATGCAGGTGTGGGCGTGAACTTGGGCCAGGAGAGGCAGGGTTTGTTGGTGAGGGCTTGGGACAGGGCACAAACCTTGGTTCGGTTTGCCCTCATGCTGCACCCACAGGCAGATGCTGATAACAGAGAAGGAAAGCGAAACTTTATCCAAGTGAAGAGGTCTCCTGCTCCCTGCAGTGACCCAGAGAGGAAAAGATCCCGCTTCAATTCAGAGTCAGGTTAGTGCCTTGTCCCGTTTATCTGTGTCCAGGGCATGACTGGTTCCCTCAGAAGGCAATGTGCATGTATTACATTGCAAGGCAGTAAATGAGTGGGCAAACAGTGTCGGGAACCAGGTGGCACCATAGCTGTGTGCTTCCTGCTGCCCTTCACTCTTAACCCGAGTAGAGCTAGAGGTACCCTGTCCTAAATGTACCCATCCCAGCCCTGTCCCCATGTTCCAGATTCCAGCTCTACGCCTTCCAGTCCAGACTGCTCAAGACCCCCCAAAAAGAACAGCAGAGCCCAGGAGAAGTCACGCTCTCGGAGAGCCTTAGAGAAAGCAGTTGAGAGGACGGATGAGGAACAGCAAACAGACCTGGTTGCCAAGATGGGACCAGAGGAGAGCAGTGAGGAGGAAGGGGAGGGCTCTGTCCGCTCAAGCAAGGTCTGGAAAGAGAGCCCTGAGGAAGATGATGGTGTGAAGAAAGAGCAGAAGGGCAGGTCTAAAAAGAAAGCGGGGGCCAAGAACAAACAAGCACCAAGCAAGGCCTCAGCCAGTAAGAAGCGGGTTAGGGAAGAAAGTGAAAGTGAGGAAGGAGCCAGGCAGGGTAGAGCGAAGGTGGGGGCAAGCACAGGTACTGAAAGCCACAAGGAAGGGGAAGACAGTGAGGAGGAGACCGTAGCCAAGAAGAAAGAGCACAGAGAGCCCAGATCCAGGAGCAGCAAAGGGGAGAGAGTGAGCTTTAAGCAGAAAAACAGGGTTGGGAGGCGAACTGGAGGTTTGGGGGACAGGGAAGAAGGGAAGGAAAGGAGGGCAGCGAGTGGTGGGGACAGCAGTGGGACAGAAGATGAGAACTCACCTAAGAGCCGGGACAAGACCCAGGCTAAGAATGGGAGAAGGCAGAGTGCAAGCAGTGAGGATAGTGCGAGCAGCTCACAGGAGCTTGCATCTGCTCAAGGCACTCCCAAGAGAGGCACACTAGGCATAGGCAGCAGCGATAGTGGGAGTGACACGGAGAGGGGCGTGAGTGACTCCGGGGCAGGAGAGAGCACCAAGGAGGAGAGGAAGAACCGCTCTTCCAAGAAGAGCTCCAAGAAAGACAAGGCCCGAAGTTCCTCATCAGATTCAAGTCCAGAACCCACGAGCCAGAAGGTGAGAAGGCATACTAGGTGGGTGGCCTCCACCAGGGAAAAGGCTGGGCCTTCAGCTGCAAACTCCTTATTAGGTTGGGTCTCGCCGTGGAGAGGACCATCCAACTGTGGTGAGACTAAAGCGTTATATTCGGGCTTGTGGAGCCTATCGAAACTACAAGAAGCTGCTGGGCTCCTGTCACTCCCACAAGGAGTGCCTGAGTGTCCTCAGGGCTGAGCTGGAAGCGCTGGGCATGAAGGGTGAGACTGGATGTGCCAGAGAGCTGCTGGAGGGAGGGCCTGGGCACTGGGGAAGAGAGGCTCTCAAACTACTTCTGCTCCAGGCAATCCTTCCTTGGAGAAGTGCCGGGCCCTGAAGGAGCAGCGGGAAGAGGCAGCTGAGGTTGCTTCCTTGGATGTTGCCAATATCATTAGCAGTTCAGGTAAGTAATTTCCTCTTCAGGAAAGGAAGAGGCTGGGGTCCGATAACTAATTTTCTTTCCCCACCTCCCAGGCCGACCACGAAGACGGAATGCCTGGAACCCTTCAGGGGAAGGAATCCCCCCAGGGGAGCTTTATCGCAGAACCCTGGACTCAGAAGAGGAGCAGCCACGCCGAGCACCTCCAGATTGGTCCCATATGCAGGGCATCATCAGCAGTGATGGTGAGAGTAGCTGAACTCCTTGCCCCAGGATGGACCTTGCCGTGTTACACAAAGAGCCTGTGACACTAAAAGCAGCTTTCAAAGACTATCTCCCCAGGAACCTAAGTAGTCGGCACAGTACTCAATTTCATGTTCTCTAAGGTTGTTTTGGGGGTTTGTGGTTCTTTGTTTTGGATTTAGAGTCAATAAAGCAATGTTTATCATTATTTCATCTGAACTGGTTCCCAATGCTCATGCCCCATCCTTTGGGGCCAAGAAATTGGGAAGTAGCCCTTGCTACTAGCTAGTAGCCTAACTTTTTCTTATAGATTTCCAGTTGCCCCAACCCCAGGCCTGCCATCCAGTCCTCGCCAAGCTGTATCAGAGAAGGACATGGCTGCTCTTCCAGTGTGACCAGGTGGTTTCTCTAGTCAAAGTTGCCTAAGTAGTGTGAAGCTTAAATGGCAGAATGAATGCCTAGCACCAACAAGGGCCTGGTCTCAATCTCGTCCCCTTCCCTCACTCTCTCTACTTCTTTCCCACTCAGGCTCAGTTCATCTTCCCCACACTGCTAGGAACTCAGCCTCCAAGAGGTAGGTATAGTAGATCTGACTGCCCAATCAGAGCATGACAAACCTCTGCAGACTTCAGTGTCCAGGCAGGCATCTAGTAAGATAGAGACATTGCACCAAGGTTTTCTGAGAAGCTTTGAATACAAAGCAAAGCAGAGTTTGAGGGATCAACAAGTTGATGCCCTTCCAATCATACATGCAGTCATTAAAATCACTAGAATTTTTAATCACATGACCTAATTAAGTACAAATAACACTATCACTTGCTACTCATCAATCACTCACACAATCTTAGACAGAAATGGAGAAGTCCCGGGGTCTGTTAGAATAACCAACAGTTTATTAAAAGCTTGCCCTAGGGCTCTGTGCCAGCCCCATAGCTGAGAGGGGCTCCCATGGCTGCTCCCAGGCTTGGCAGCAGCCCTTTCCAAGGTCCTTCCCTTGTCCCCCACCCCAGCCCTGACCCCAAATTAAAAAAAAAAAAAAAAACCAGACAAGACGGCACAGGACGTCAAACAGCAACAGGAGGGTGGTGAGACCCAGGCATCCTGACTTTAAGACCCCCCAATCTTTCTGGAGGAAGGCCTCCTCCCATTCTCCTTGCCTTGGGCACCAGACCTGCTCCGCCATATCCAGGTCTGGGGACCCTGTTGTCCCAGTTCATGGCCCCATCACAAGGGTTGTATAGTTCTCTGAATATAATATATCTAGACCCACCCTTCCCCTCCCCCAGGGGACCAGATGAATATTTGACACTCACAGTTCCCACCTTTGGTAGGTGGTGATGGAGGGAGACCCTGGCACCATGGTGGGGAGGCAGGGCTCCTGGTCAGCCTTGGGGCACCAATGCCCAAGCTGACCTGGGGTCACTGGCCAGCCCCAAGAAGCTCATGAGATGTGGAGGTCTGACGGGGGAGCTGGAGCCATCATCCTGTCCCACCACTGGGTAGGCGTCAAGCACACTGCCTGTAGCATCAGGCACCACCCACTCCCATCTTGCCCTATTCCTCTGCTCACCACCCTGCACTTCAGGAATAGAAGTGGGAGGAGCCGTTGAGGATGTGGGAAGCAACACTAGTGCTTCGGCTCAGTGGCCCTGGCACTGCAGCAGGCGGGCCTACGTTCTCACTACTGCTGCCCCCTGATGCTGCCCGCCTCAGGGGTTGAGGGCTGTTCCTTAGCAGCAGCAGAGCGCCTCCACGGGGTGTTCCACTCTGTGTGGGGGGCCCTAACCAGTTTGGAGGCCCTGGGGGAGCCAGCAGAGCTGGCTGACGCCAAGCTGGTGGGGGCATGCCTGGTGGAGGGGGGCCGTGGCTCCAATGGGCCCCTGAACGGGGAACTGGACGGGAAGGCCAGGCAGGGGCTGGGGGTGGAGCAGGATAGCCCTGGGCAGCAGCTTCAGCTGGAATGCCCCCCAGGGCCATGCTGGAGAAACCCAGCCTCATACTCTCAGCATCAAAGGCCTCGATCTCACGGGCCTGCCGTTCAAGCAAACTCCGGATTCGCTCAGAACGCCCTGTCTGCAGGGCCAGCAGCTCTTCTTCCACCTGGGACACCCAAAACAGGGGTGAGAGTACTGGAATAGAGAACCCGCTCTCCCTTTCCCATCTTGGGGGCCAAGCCCCTTACCCGTTGCTCTAGCAGCGCCCGCCTCAGCGCTACTCTCTGCTCCAGCTCCCTCAGCTCGCGCTCGTGCTGACTCTCTGTGCGGATCTTGATCTTGCTCTGGTAAGCATTGAGGAGCTCCAGCTCTTGTTGGAGCTGCTGCCGCAGGGCCTGAAACTCTGCCTCTTGGGTCTCATCAAGCCGGAGCTGGAGGACAGGAAGGAGAGGGTTTAGGGACCTCCTCCTCTGTCCCCACCATCCTCCCCTGCCCCAGTAGGCCTGGGCCCTCAGGTGGCAAGGAGCGGCAGTCTCAACCTCTATCAGAATGGAAGATGGTCATACCCTGTGGTACAGCAATTACACTTGCAGGAATCTATCCCCCAGGTATACTTGCACATGTGCTCCAAGTGTTCACGGAAGCGTTGTGATAGCAAAATGCTGGAAACAACCTAAATGTCCACCAATAAGGGATGGGTTAAATAAATTATGGCACAGCCATTCCATGGAAAATTCTATACTGTATAAAAATGATATAGTGCTATGTATACTGACATGGAATGATGTCCAAGAAATACTGGGTGGAAAAGGGAAGTCAGAAAACTATGTAAAGTCTGACTCTGTTGTGTTTAAAATTCCTATTTAACTACACAATTTAATCACTACAAAATTACCTCTGAGGAGTGGGGCTGAGTGAGAAGGGTCCTCTAGCTCTTTGGACTCAATGTGTATTTGATTCCAGTGCTGTGTACAGTTTTCCTAAGAGCAATCTTCCAGATTCCTGAAGTCTGAGTAAAAGGCCTGAGAACCACACTCCCTGTTCGTACAAAGTAAACTCAGGTCCAGAAAAAAAGTACTACAACCATTATTTTCCTTGGTGTTTCTCGGCAGAGCAAGCAGGATGACTTTGTTAAGACATTAGGAAAATAGTAAGAGAAAAAAATAAGACCACTGAGAAGAATATGAAATAAAACCACTATGAAGAATGTCAGTAAAAGAACACCGTGTTTCCTAAGTCCAAAAGTTCTGTTCACACCTCCCTTCCTTTGCCACAACAAATTTTAAAGCAAAGGCCAACACCCATAGTCTCCCTCCCAGACCCCAGGCCTCACCGCCTGTGAGCTGAGCATCTCTGAAATGGACTGGTCATACTGCTCAGCCAGGATCGCCAGCTTGCGGGTCTGTTCCTCTTTGAGCCGCTTAAGGAGGCTCTTGTGCTGAGCTTTGGGTGTGGTCTCCAGCAAGTGTGCACGAAGAGCCTTGTATTGCCGTGTCTGGATCTTACACGTTTCCTGGAACTGCTTCTTGATCTGCAGCTCCTTCGACTGTGCAGTGAATGGATCAAGGGGAAATGGGGCAGGGGAGAAGGAGGAAGAGGAGCAACGAGGGGAAAGGAAGAAAGGAAGGAGACAGAAGCAGAGACAGGGAGAGGGAGAGAAACAGAAAACATGTTAGACAGAGGGGGCGGGGGGAGCTGTACACAGACAGACATGGAGAGATGAAACTGTTGAGAGATCAAGAAAGTCTCCATGGGCAAGAGAGGCAGAGAAACAAAAGAGGTTCTCAGAGTACATCAGAGTTGCATGGGATGTCACAAGAAGGGACGGAAGATCTTACAGACATGGAACTGAGAATCTTTAGAGGACTGAGTACACAAAAGAAGCTTTGATCATGCAAAGAGGGAAGAGATAATATCACCCAGGGATAGAAGCATATGTTTCGGAATGTAAAGACTGAGTGAGAGACCAAGGCACTTGCAACATCCACGAAAGGGCGATACGACTAAGGTCAGGCAGAGGAAGGCCCGGGTCCAGCACTGCAGCAAAGAAGGAAGCACTGTGCTGAGGTAAAGGTCACCCATATCAGTCCACAGAAGGGAGGGAAAGGGCGGCAGGGGTGGTCAGAAGGTCTGACAAGTTCCACTGCAGACGGCTGCCACCCTGACCAGATCCACATATTAGCTCAGCCCAACATACTCAGCCCTCACTCGAAGCCCACAGCAATCCCAGGCCTCTGGTTTGCACATTCTACCTGGTCCCAACTCACCACCCTTGACTGTAGAGGGTCTGCTGTCCCAGCCCCCAACCCTGTAGACTAATGCCCGAACTCAGGTGATAGACGCAGCTTCCAAATCATGTAGGCATTGGGTTCACAGTAAAGGAAGGGACAAAGAGACCAAAAGACTTTAACCCTAAGTACTCTCTGAAAGGGTCCCACAACCAGGGAACTGTGAGATCAGGAAGTTCTGTGAAAGCTCCACAGGGGCTCATAGCCCAGAGCTGGTTGTGGTCACGGTGGAATGAAGCTATGAAGGCAAAGAGGATGAGGCTGAGGAGTGAAAGGAGTGAAGACAACGGAGATGGGGTGAATAGGTCATGGAGCTGAGGGCCAAGGGTCCAGATTCGGGGCAAACCAGGGAGGCTAGGCGGCAGGACAAAGCAGACAGAGGCAGCCTGGGCCAAAGGTATAGTTCCGCTCAGATATTTTATTTATGTTTTTCTTTTTTTTCTTTTTCTTTTTGGTGGAGGGGGAAGGGGACAGGTTGGAAGGGAGACAGAAAAACAAAATCAAAGAGGGAGAAAAAAAAAAAAAAAAAAAAACCAAACCCAAGACTTTCCCTCCCTACCACCCCTGGCCCCAGGCCTGAGCCGATGAGGGTGAGGATGAGCACACACACAGCAGGAGAACAGCAATAACTTAGGGGATTGGGGGAAACACAGAGTGTCATTTCTGGACTCCACAGTAGAGGAGGCTGCCTGTCTAGAGATCTCTAGGATTGGACCTGGGGAAAACATACTGAGGAAGAAAGGTCAGAGGGGAGGAGAGGCTAGGGGGTATTGGAGAAACTTCACTGAGTTGTGGGAGATAAAGTGCTCGATGCCCTAAATTTGGATGAAGGATTGGAACTGTTACCTCCAGGGAGGCAGGGCCTTGCGGGTCTGCGATCTCCGCCCAGTCACAGTCCCTGGTGGTAGCTGTCGGGAAGCAGAGAGCCCAAGACGGCGCTGGCTGCGTGGTAGCAGCCTAGGGATTCGACTTGGCCGTTCACCCTT